TGTTTGCCCTTTGTGGCAAAGTCGTCACGGCGCTGGAGTCCTCCACGGTTGCTAATATGACTCTTTTGGCGCGACAGCTGGCTGTTGAAGGTTTGGACGTAATCCGTGTACATGGTGTTAAACGCATTGGACATGACTTGCCGCGTGACGTCTACAACGTCTAGCTGGAAGGTGGGTATATCCCAGAGCTGAGGAATCTCGTTGGCCGCTTGGATGAGTAGTGAATGGGCCTTCTTCAGCGTGGCTGGGTCGTAATATACTTTTGTTGGAGGAGGCCAGTTGCCGGTTCTGTTGACTAGACCGGACAGACTGGGCGCATTTTGGTAGATCCCGACCCCGACGCAAGGGACCTGGCGGTCTTTGTTGTCGTAGATGTTTTGGCGCAGAATATCCCAGGCCTGGAAGAGCGAATTTGTTTGGGAAACTCCGGCATAGCGCCGGACGACGTAGCCGTAAAAATAGCCCGATGTGTCGATGGGGGTAGTTGTCCATGCTTGGTCAAAGAGCATTTGATACACGACTTCATTTCCTTCATATCCTTCTGGTGTCATTCCGAAACCGGACAAAGAAGGGGAAGTACGCAAAGCATCCATCGACTGGACGGTAATATCGCTAATCTGGCCGTACATTCCCATATTGCCACCAAAATCATGCAGTTGACACCAGATCCATGGTCGACCAAAGTACCCCTTTGTCCTCTGCCACTGGGGCCTGGACTCGGAGTAAAGATCCAGCACAAGCATACTGTTATGCCCTTCTGGACCACCAAGGTACGCGGTGACGCGCTCCTCAGTCCACAAGCCGCTGTTCAAGAAGAGCCACCCTTGTAGCAACCACACCGCGGCAGGGTTGGCAGCAGTCAGAGCCTTGTAAGTATACGTGGAAACTTGAGAAAGGTAGCTCGGTTCGTTGGACGTTGGTGGCATTTCATTAAATTGGTCAAGCGTATAAATATTGGTCACGTTGCCAAAGGCCTCGATTTGCTTGGAGATGAAGGCCTGCTGCAGACGCGCATAGCTCGTATCCAGAGGACTAAGGAAAGTATCTCTGGTGTTTGTGTCTGGGAGCCCAGTCCATCGGGGAGCCTTGGTCGTATTCGCGTCTGGTTGCACTCGGCTGAAAGCCGGAGGGACGAAGCCAGGGAAAGCTGGCAAGACCGGGGTGATGCCCAGCTCAACCATTCGAGCCACAATCTTCTTCTGCAATTCAAACTGAGCATCGATCCAGCCGCTGCTGAGGTTTCCCACGCCCCCCCAGGACCCTTGGGTGTTCCCAAAACGGTTCCAGGCCTGGAAGGCAGGGCCACTGAAGAAAGGGATGATTTCCTCGTCGGTCATGCCAAGGTCCCGGAAAGAATCGAGAAAGATCTTTTCAAAGCCAACCCAAGCTAGCTGAATGTTGGTTCCTCTCAACGCGGCCCAGTCGAGTAGTTTCTCCCAATCCTCCCACTGGTACCACACAAACGAGTAGGAAAAGGTCACTATCAGTTCCTGTTAGACGGCAGACTCTAGTTGAAATGACAGTGCAATCCTCAATTCTCACCCGTGTTTAGATTATACCTCCATGGCACGACGCTGGTGCGGCTCAGAGACTGTCTCGGTAGTGGAAGCTTGTCTGGGATGGTAGCATGGCTCTCAGCAAACAGGAACTCATCCAGCTGAAGAGAATCAACAGAATAGTGACGAAGACTAGTTTTCAAGGAGCCGACATGTCAGCACTGTCCACAACTTTGCCATTCATTTTAGCTCTGAATTTGCGTAGAGGAATAATTACTCACCCTCTTGCGAGTGCACTTAGCGTTGTGCCTTCAATATGAATTTTGCCAGTTTTCGACGATACAGTATAGTTGTCATTCTTTGGTGGATTCCACCGGGACGGTCGTTCATTATTCGCCGTCAAGGTAAACTCAAATTCGTCACCGTGCCCCTTGAACAGTCGTGTTGCAAGCGCCTTAATGCCATCGATGGACTCGGCGCTAACCAGAAGAGACGAGACAATGGTTAGACCAGGTACAAAGAGTCGAGTTGGCCGCATCCTAGACAACGAACAAGGCTGGAGTAATAGAATGAATGCAAGGCGCCTTGTACAAGCAATTCTTCGGCTGAATAGTAGCAGCCGCGATACATATAATCAAATCTAATTCTTAGTGTAGTAGCATGAAAGTTTAAGCTTAGTTTGCAACGTTTCATTTCCGTTTAGTTGACATTAGCGAGGCAATAATTCAAGTGAGAAAGTCACTCGGACTCGAGGAAATGACGATGAGGAGCACAGGAAGTAGTCTGTATTAGGAAGGTGATCGCGTCGACGCCTGTTGTAAGCGGGGACTACTAGACTGGCGTGACTTTTTCAGCTTCCAACTACGTAGTCACGTTTGAAATGTCAACTGGAATTCAACATGCCATGGATTCTGCCGCCTATCCCCTCGTAAGGCAGGAATTGGCATGCTGGTAGGCTGGGGGTTAGGCTTATGTTGACGACACCTGGAGTGCTACGATCTACGCGCCACGCACATCATAACGTTTCGTATCAACTACGTGTAGCCAATAAGAGTACGAGCTTGGTCATTTATGGATGTAAATACGTCTGGTTCCATCTGCTAGCGTTTCAATCCCTGCTGGACATCAATCGCTGTCAACGGTCCTTCTTGCACCCTGTCAACGTAGCACTTGAGCGGTTATAACATGCCGTAAATACCTGGAGAAAACACTAGCTACCCCCCCAACATTTGACTGTATAGGTCTAGAGTATTTGATACAGAAGTAACGTCGCTTACTGGGAGGTTTCCATGTCAAGAATGTGCCTCTCACGGTACTAGTATTGAAGGCCAAAGCTCTGCTAAGGCGCACAAGATATTCTATAAGCGGCAAGTGGAGTGACGATCGATACATGGCCCTTTACCCCTGATTTGAGCGCTTAGATGAAGAATGCTCCGGACATATCGGTTATTAGCGCCTCTACTCCGTAGGCTAGAAGACTAGAGCAGTGTAACTATGCGAGTTTTGGCTGAAGTAGCTGATGGAGAATGTCCAAACGAGTGAGCTGTTAGAAGTGTAAAACTATTTGAAGCTGTTGTTGGTGTTTATGTTAGTCTCTTATAGCTAGTATAAAGTATTATCTTATAAGACATATTATGAACTACCCTTATTCATAATAAACAAGTGTTTATATTTCTCAAGTGCTCCCAAAACTTATTAGCCTCTTTCTTTTTAAATTATAAACGTTCTTTTATTAAAAACTGTTTTACGTCCTTTCAAAGATAATAGAGAGCAACACTGATGAAGCGGGGGTAGATGGCAACCACGGCGTCGTGCTGGAGACTTTGAAGACTATCAACTACTTGTTTGGTAAATTCAACAAGGCTGTATACGAAACTCGACTTGGATGTGCCTCTCAATCAATGTCTAGTATTAATATTGACTGCGAGTCGGCCAAGCGTAGTCAAGTCCGAAACTCAACGTCAAGAAGAAGGCCTTGCAACGGCTGGGTGTGATTCCAAACAGGTAATAGTTCAGGGAGAGATATCCCAGAATTCTGAGGCTGGCAAAGGTGTCCTGAATGACAACAGTGGTGGTTTGCGAGCAACCATCGATCCCAGCGGCCACAGACTTGACGCCCGTTCCAGCAGATTCATGGTGAGTTGGCAGAAAGGACCAGTTGATGTTACGCGGCTTGCATACTAGTAAGTGCAATATGGGAACGCCGGATGCAATAAGTCCTGCCATGGGATGTCTAAAGACCCCAGCTGCTCTTTCTCACTTTTCCAGCGCCGCGTGATAGTGCATCTCCTCATTTGATTCTGGTTTGTCCTCTAATATAGTCATGCCACCACTTTTTCTGGTCTCCTTGAAATCCGCCAGTGTTTCCTTAGCTTTCTGCAAAATGCGCGCAAATTCAGGGTTTCTGTCGCCACGAAAATGGCTCGAGGGGGTGGATTTCCCTCCCGAGGCATGCTATACGCAATAACATGTTGGCATTGGGCATTTTTCGATGTCTTCAAGCGGTTTTCCGGTTTCTCAGCATATGGGGTAGTTGCTAGCCAGGCCAAGAAGATATGCCTACTTATTTACTTATTCCTCTTATGCGAGGGGCTTCAGTAATGCCCAGGGTGGACGATGTATATATTTTATCAGTTTGGCATCTACTAGCTTTGGCAGAAGACTTCCTTTCAAGCCACGGATGAATGAAGTTTTTGTCAAGTCAATACACAATTTGCTTGGTCTTGTATTGTTTGTTTCACTCCAGGGGCTGATACCTGGATCGTTGCATCTTACCGCTGCTGTTACACGGAAATCGCCCTGTTACACAAGGGCTAGGGTCACGAGACCTACGGCAAAGTCCCTCACTGACTTCTTGTATAAATAGACGTCTTCGGTCCCTTAAGGCCTTGAGGAAAACCAAGGACCTTTAATACCAAAGACTGTTATTAGATGAATTGAGTAAATTGCTCCAAGCCCTCTATTGAGCCCTTGTCACAGCTGCTATCCACTTCGTGCAAGATATGTGATCACTTGCCTTTATCTGATTCTACTCATCAAGGGTACTTGAACTTTCATCTCGACGTGGAACCGGTCATTTAAATGTTCTAACTGGCTTTTCACGTTTCCAAGTAACGTCAGAAGTACCCTACACTCAACGAATTGTAGGCTGACAAACTATTGGCAATGCATATGAATGATAACCTGGTCATTAAATTTTGTTTATGAATTAAAATCCACAATAAGAATTGTTCAACGAAATTCTGCTCGAAGTGGCGTTCGCAAATGCATGCATGAGAAGTGCCAGGATGCGTCCGTAGTCATCAAAAGATGTCGTTGCAGCTTCGCGGTCGGAACGGAGCCAAACTACAGCTTAAAGGGATCGATACGTCTCGTTCCGCAGCAAGACTTTGATTCATTTTACTAGCTAAAGCAATTCTTCGTACGCAGGTAATCAGCTAGCTAATCTACGATAATTCAAGGCCAACTCTCTCGCTCGACGCGCCGCCCAAATATATCCACGACTTAAGCCTTTCGATTGTAGCCATACTTGTGGATAGCGTTTAAGAATCCCAGTGCTCAACGACATCTTCTCCACATGGCAAGGATATAATATATCTCAAGACCAAACGTACAGCCTTACACGCATCCAGGGTGACATGCCAATTGACTTCACCGTCCTCTTTGCAAGTCGCCGTCGCTTTGTCCCAATCTTTTTCCTGGAGCGCATCTTGTTCTGATCCACCCAAAAAAAGCCCTTGGCTATCAAGATGTGCTACTGTAGAACTTACGACCTTGACTGTAAGGCGATCGTCTTCCGATACAGGAATCTGATCCCTCACCAAGATGGGCACAGGCTTGCCAGCTAAAGCTTGATTGTTTTGTAAGGTAAGAGTCCGTGAATATAAATAGTTGTATCTTTCTTTTTGTACGCTCGCACCCTCTGCTTCTCGTATGGCTGGCTTACCATAGATCATCTTGATGGCAGGGTCGACGCCGAGGTCCAAGCTAAAAACGCAACCAGCGCTGCAATGGGGCAACACCGTGTGGCCTAGGAACCTCCCGTCGAGAGTAAGCCCGACAGGACCTTGAAGAAAAGCATTTTTACTCGTATTCATAATTGTGGCCTTCAGATTCGCTCCTGCTCTATATTTGGCAACGGCTATGTAGCTGAACTTGACGTCGGGGAGAGTGAGGCGAGCCATCCGATGCTTAGATGAAGTAGATCTGGGCAGAAGGGTCTTTAAGTCCGGGAAATCATATGAGGTGGCCGAGCCAGTCTCTGCGATAAGTGATTCCTCAAACTCGCCGAGTGCGCTGTTGTGGAGATCAGCGTTCATAAACATTTCCCCGCGAGGCTTGTTCACGATATTGCTTTTCTTGAATGCCATCCAATCAATGTACTGTCTGGATTTCGCAAGATCCGTGAGTAGCTGATTTTGTTTGTCGCTTGACCCTTTGGGGGAGAGTTTGATCTTCCACGTCTTGAGTGTCGGGGTGACGTTGTCTAGCCCACCAAATAAGGCCTGTGTGGCTGACGACAAGACAACTTTACAGTTGGACCATGTTTCAGACGTGGTATTTATCAGCTGGGCATTGAAGAATAGGATAGCAGTTGAATCTGTTGTAGACAGCTGCAAGTCGTAAATAGGCGCCCATCCCGCAGAGCTGGTGACATACGAAAGAGCCAAGTCGCATATAGAGCTGGGAGCGACCGTATCCGCCTCCGTCGACATCGGCGACGATGCTTGCATGGTATCCGCTTCGCTAATGCTTCTGGAAAATGGTTGAGTATTGCAGTCGTATTCAATTGTGATGCACACAGAGTAGCAATACCGCGGCCAAAAGTTCTCACGTTCTCGGCGAACGCGACCTTGCTCCTCGTGCCTTTCCTGGTCACGCTTGCGCTTGAGAGATTTTTTCTGTTCACGTTCTTGGCGAACCTTTTTTTTAGCCTTTTGTTCTTTCGCCTTTTCTTTGACTTGTTGGCGCTGTAGCTTGTCAAGTTGTTCTCTCAGTCCGCTCCGAACCTTCTCCCTCTTAACGCGCTCGACGAAAAGCTGATGACGTAAACTTTCGTACGTTTCTACTTCCTCACCGAGATACGGTGTACTGAAATTTTCGCGCTGTGCGGTAGCATATGATTCCAGAAGATCAAGACAGCTGGTGGCACTGTCTACACTCTCAGTGGCCATTTCAAGCTCGTCCCGAATTTCTCGTAGTCTACGCTGGACGTCAGACACTTCAGGGCTCTGCTCTTGGCCCGAATTGAAGTCGGAATCAGACTCAGACTCATTGTCGCCATCGCAATCCGACTGGTTTCTGCCTAACTCGGGATAGATCTCTTCAAAGATGTCGGGGTTAGGCGAGGATTTCACGGCAATGTTTGTGATGATGGCGGAAGAGCCATTGCTTTCGACTTTGATGGAGTCTTGCTCAATCGTAGGGCTGAGTCCAATGACGGTAACTTCATTCGTCCCGGGCTATGTTTTTACGTAGCGTTAGAAATCTTCAACCTTGTTATATTTGGTTAGTATCCGTAGCGTACCTTGAGGTTAACGGCTGTCATCTCTCTGACGACTTGTGCCTGCTTGGGGAACAGAATGACAGAGCGAGTGTTGAGGTCCCGGACCCTGTATTCAACCCTATTCACCGTTTCCATGGTTGTTAAGCTCCAGGGGGGGTGAACGAGAAGAGGGAAAAAAACTTCTGCTGTATTGAAAACTTTGGCAATACTTGATCGAGGTATTCTCTTCTTGTATATGCTCGACTGTATGCCCTGCTCGGATTTGAAGCTGACAGAGAACGTGAGACTCTTGCGTGGTGTGCAGGAAGAGGAGGTGTGCAGGAGGCAGCTGGTCAGATCTCGTAGTCAACCAGATGCTGTGCCTAGAAAAATGGCCTTAGCTAAGCTCAACTTCAACTCACCTTTAATTCACCTTCAATTAACCCTTCACCTCGTCCATCACCCCATCCTTCACCTCATCCTCTAGTTTTTTTTCTTATGTACTAGAACATCCAAAATCCCGATCCCCCTCCTTTTTCTCGCATTTCCCCTCTACGTTAGAAATCTTGCCCTGCAGTTTATCTGGGACACATTCTGCAGACCACCTTGACTTCTTCCCAAGCAGACACAAACGAAAAAATCATGCTTGTTTAGCTCCCTCGTTTTATTTGCGATACCATACATTCCCGCATGAACACAGTCGGCATTGAAGGAAGGCCCATTGCATCACGGCGTGCACATCGACTCCATGCCGCTCGAGATGCAGCATTCCTCAACTGACAACGATCCGATGGTTCTCGTAGCAAAACACAGCTACGACTCTCTCAGGTTTGCAAAATCCATACAGTCTGATCCAATGCTTACCCATTTCGTCTCCTAGACAGGTCAAGGGCCGCCGTGTCCTCCGCACACGATACTGCAAGCGTATCATCTTGTCCTTCGGTCCTCCATGATTTCGACCTCGATCGTGTATGGCACTCGTACAATCCACCGAATAATACCAGTTCCGAGCCTGACGTCTCGAAAATGATGGTAAAACTTCTAGACGACCCTGTCTCTGACTGCTGTCGGACTGCAGAAGTCGTCGCCGAGGATTCGTTTAGAGCAATACCTGGTCTGTGCCGAGTAGAAATTACAGAACCCGAAGAAATCTACTTTTGCTCTAGTATCTGGTCTAGTCCACACTCACTTGTTCCAGTCGATATGGATTTGGCCATGGAGGCACGGCCGAAAGTTCTTGACAAGGCGCGAGCCTTCCTTGGCTCAACGCCCGCCAGAAACGTCAAGCGCAGGTCCAATTTCCCGTCTGCCCGTATATTCTGGTCAAATCCATGCAGGGGAAACTCAATATGGCGAGGTTTTAGGGCGGCACTAGCGTAGAAGGAAATGGAGCAGCACGTCCTAGGACAGCTCGCCGGTTGTCTCGCCAAATCTTCAACTGTTGGTCTGTGGCCTCTTCATTTCTCGTTGGCGCCGAGGACAAGATCAAGCGGATCTCGAACGTGGCGTTGCTTCCACTTAACGCGTAACATCGGCAATTCCCTCGTCTCCGTTTCGCTCTCCGATCAGACCGGTTGACGCCATTTGTACATGCGGTCCAATTTCGGCGTCAAGGAGCCCCCCAGAGTTCCACTTCCGAAATCAGGCCGTTGATACGATGCATATAACAAGCTTAATTTCGGCGCCAAGGTGCCCGACTTCGGATTACCATATTGTTAGTCATTGCGGTTTTGGGGACGAACTTTGTTTATTTTCGGTTGATAATTACAAACATTCTGGATCCTCTGGATTTTCGGTGTACGCAAGGATTGTTTGCGGCAATGCTGGGCCAATGCTATTTGCCTCTCCTCAAGCATGGATGGCATATAAAGGATGGTAGATGACCAACTTTGCCAATTTCCAATAGACCAACTATCCTCTTCAGCATTCTCTTTGCTCTACTACGTTCGTATCCCATACCCTCAATGACCTACGCTATCATGCGTAATACACTGGCCCTCGCTGTTGTCCTTGCTGGCACAGTCGCCCAGGCTGCCTCAACACTCTTCTGGGGCGGCACCATCATTGCATTTAACAGTGACAATGAATCCCTAAGGGTCATCAGAAACGGCTCGCTTCTCGTGGTGGATGACCGCATTGCCGCCGTTCACGACGATTCACAAAGTCCCTACAACAGTGTGCCAGAAGACACAGTCAAGATAGATGTCACAGGGCAGATCATCACCCCGGGCTTCATTGATACCCATCGCCATAGCTGGCAGACGGCATACAAGACGATTGGGTCTAACACGACGCTTCTTGAATACTTCTCTCGGTACGGCGAGTATGCCGCGGCATCCAGTTACCGGCCTGAAGACGTCTACTTGGGCCAGTTGATGGGTCTCTATGAAGCCTTGGACGGCGGCGTGACAACCCTGCTTGATCATGCTCACCACACATGGTCGAATGCGACCGCCTATGCTGGTCTAAACGCAACCGTGGAGAGCGGAGCGCGTGTCTTCTGGTCCTACGCGTTTCATAACATCTCCAGCCTCAACTACACTATCCCACAGCAGATACCCAACTTCCGCGAGATTGCAGAGAGCGGCATCTTTGACAATACAACGACAGAACTCGGCATTGCTTTTGATTCGTGGGGACCCAACCCAGACGTCGCCGAGGCTGAGCAGATTGTTCATCTCGCTCACCAGTATAACGTCTCGGTGGTCACAACTCACTGTCTCAGCGGCCCTTGGGGTTTTAACAACCTGCCCGAAGACGTTCAACGGTTCGACATGCTCAACGGCACGATCCCCGTCGTCTTCTCGCACGCCAGTTTTATCACGGCACAGGGTGCAGAGCTTCTACGTTCTACAAACCAGTACATCTCCATCACGCCCGAGTCCGAGATGCACTACGGCCATACTCACCCGCATTCCTACATGCTTCAAGACCAGGCATCTCTTGGTGTCGACACGCACTTTACATACTCTGGCGATATTCTCACCCAGGCCCGTCTGTGGCTGCAATCGGTAAGATACTACTTTTCATGGGGTGTCTTGCAGGACTGGGGCTTGCCGTCTCGGAACCCAATGAGCGCCGACCAGGCATTCAAGCTGGCCACGCGCGCGGGAGGCCTTGCGCTGCGAAGACCCGACTTGGGCGTCATCCAAGTCGGCGCCAAGGCAGATCTTGTGGTTTGGAACGCGCGCAAGTCGCTGTCCATGGTGGGATGGGCAGACCCCGTCGCCGCCGTCATTCTTCACGCCAACGCAGGCGACGTCTTGGATGTCATGGTGGATGGAAAATTTGTCAAGAGAGAGGGGGAAATCCTGGCCGAGAATTTTCCCGACACGCGCGCCAGGTTCTTATCCAGCGCTCGCAGGATACAGCAGATATGGCGGGAGAAGCCGTATCCCGATTTCGAAGGCGAATCCGCAAATGGATTTCCCTACAAGGAACCGATTATCGCGGACACGAGCCGAGGGGGTGGGGACGGATACGGAGATTTATATGTGAATTAGTTGCACCCTTGCAGTTGTCACGCTGTGAGACTTGTTCTCGACTGGTCAACGAGTGAGTCGTGGGGCTACTAGCTTGAGCCTTGTGAGATATTCGATTTAATTTAGCATTTAAGCCTTGATTTGAAGGTAGCTGGCCAATATAAAATCTGCCCTTTTTGATCAATGCAAAAGGAGCCTCAGTTCCGTAGCTTGATACATTCTATTAAAGACCGATTCTACTATCTATGCACCCTATAGCTGCATTTCTTGACCTTGACCAAGCTTCTCTTTTGTCTCACGCTATTACAGATTATATTGCTCTTTGCATTTTTGTTCTTCCTCTATCCTGCAGAACGTTGCGTGTCATTAAAAGAGCGCGCTCTAGTATATTCGCTGTCAGTTCATGCCATTTACCTTTGCTTACACGGTCTCTCCGCCTCTTAAACTTCCGACATGTCTATACTGTATTACGACATGCGGGAATCTCGCTTGCTTATTTAAGCAACAGAGGCAGAATTATCTTGCAAGGCAAGTTGGAGATCCGAAATGATGCTCCAGGTCACGCGGGGTGCCAAGCTTCCGGACAAATTTCGAGTTTATAAGGTTGCCAGTCATAATTCGCCCGACCAGGTTACGTGGGGCATCATCTCATCGAAAAAGCGGGGCGGCCGTGCTTGTCGCAAAAATCGAGTGTCCAGTCCCGAGCCATTCGCAGAATCAACACACTCCTTTCATCTGTGTTCGGCTGTGGCGTTGAATAAAGTCCGTCCGAAATCTTTCCTTTACGATACATCACGATGGGATCTAGCCAATCAAGCTATTCAATACTGTAATCGGGACACAGCCGAGCCCTAACGGATATACACGGCCGAGTTGCAACGGCTATTGCGAGTAACACCGACCATCACATGAAACCAACAAGGGCGACGCTTGTTATGGTTGCCTCGGAATTCAGAATTGGCCCGAGATTCAAAGCTCGCTGCTCATTGGCGAGATTATACCCTGTTACTCGGTGGAAATGAATGACCAACTATTGTCTAGCCTATCTTGCTACGCATGCAAAAGGTACGCAACGCTCGCATCATGCCTTTTTCGACCTACATGCTACTGACGTCATGTCTCTATTTCAGGAGAAAGGTAAAATGGTTAGTTTGGCCCGTACCCCAGCATATGCCTTTTGATAAAGTTGCTTATTTGTCTTGATTTAGTAATCGGGGTTTGCCGAGTTGTTCTCTGTGTGTCAAATATGAAGAAATTTGCGAGTATCCAACTAGGCCAAAGCGCCCTGGTCCCAAACTCGGTCAGTACCAATAGCAGACATGAGACAACATTGATCTGACTATGCCCAAGGAAGTACGCATAAGAAAAGGCGAGGCATCTCGACCACCGGCTTGCCATCAGCTGCCGGCAACGCACCGTCGGTGAACACAACGGCATCTGGCGCTGTGGATCGTTCCCCAGAGATACAGAGGATTGATCCCAACTCGGGGTCCTCATATCAACAGTATGGTTTACGTTCCAGGGATACTCGCCGCGTATCAGCATGGCCCGCTGATGACTCTGGTGTACTTGGTCCAAACTCAGTCTCCAGTTCAAACAGAAACCAGCCCAGCCGCCGAGCAGTTTCTCCTGCACCAGACTTTTCCAGAATGATGTATCCGTCTCATGAGACTCAGACTGGGCCTCCGTCACCGTCTCAATCACATGATAGCCCGAATCAGCCTGTTATCCGTCCAGGAATAACCGTGGATTCAGTATGCAAAGGGCTAGGGATCTCTAGGGATGTCTACACGTATCTGTAAGTCTGGCTGATATTCATCGTTACCAAGACCACATCAGCTAAGCATGACTAGAATAAAGTCCTATTTCAGCAACATGACAACCTTTACACTGTTTAAACCTAATGGGATCGAGGCAAAGTTTGCCTTGATGCGGTCTCCTGTCGAAGCTGAGGCCTTGGTGGCGACAATATTTGCCTTTTCTGCGAGGTTCCATTCCTCGGACAGGGACCCAAGTCGGATTGCTCAATGCCCAACACCTTCATACTTTGCAGCCATTGCATCGAGGCGATTGCAAGATGCCTTGGACTCGTATGAAGACACTACACCCCCCTTCCACCTCCTGCAAGCCATGGTCCTCGATGTCTTCTACAACATTTTCAAGAGTCTACGGTCTAAATCTTGGAGATATCTAGGCCAAGCGATCCGACTTGGCTATGATCTGAAATTACACTTGCTCGACATCCACTCCGTCGACTCGGATGGCGACAAGACAGACCGCGACCTGGAACGTTGGTCGTTGTTGGAAGAACGCCGCAGGGCTTGGTGGGCTCTATGGGAATTGGATGTGTTCGCCAGCACGATTCGCCGACTGCCATTAGCAATCGACTGGACGCAAAACTTCACCTGGCTCCCGGCCCCAGACGCATGCTGGTTCCAGGGCGTCTACAAGCAGAGTTGCTTCCTGGCGCCCGACCCAGGTCAGCGCTGGAAAAACATGTCTCGAGTCGTCAACACAAGCGCAAAGGCGTGGCTCATAGTCGTCACGTCCCTCATGCACGATGCGCAGCAACTCGTGTACAACCCTCTGCCCGTGAGCGAGTCGTCGTCGTTCCAATCCAAAAAGGACAACCTGGCCATTATCGCCAACGCTCTCTACTGCACGACTTCGTCCATGCCCCGGGAGCTCGTCTACGAAGGACAAGCGCTGGACTTTGACACCAAGACACGTCCTCGAGACATCAACTGCCGGCAGTTTCATGCCGACATTTACTCCATCTACCTCATGACGCAGCTGGTGCACTTCATGAGCGACCACCACGTTGTGTGCGCGCAGATGGCGGCCGCGGCCCGGGCTCACGCCACCAATGCGCCCAGAGCTGGCGATTCACCGTCGTGGTCCAACTACATGGCGGCTGCCGAAAACATCGTCACCATTGTCCGCAACAGCGCGCACAATCATGTGAAGTACGTCAATCCGCTCTTTACCAACACGTTGTGGTTTGCGGCCGCGTCGCAAATCGCGTGCAAGCTTGTTGGGCCGTCCTGCCGCGCTGAAGCACTCGCCGCTTCAAACTATGACCTGTTGGAGCTTACTATACAGAGATGCACTTCTTTTTGGGGCAGCAACGATATCCTGAAGCCGAGGCTGGATACGATAGAGACGGAATTGAGGAGCTTGGTGGCCAAGAATGCGGACAAGGCGGCAGACGGGGACGAGGCGTTGGGCAGAAAGGACCCGGGCGCTGCTGAAGGCCACCTGCCGCCGGGGCCGCCTCCAATCAATGGCACGTCGTTTCATGGAAGTGGATTGGCTGGAGCGCAAGAGGTGTCGATGGACGATGTTCAGATGCCGTTTGTGCCCTTGTTTCCGTCGGGGCATGATCCAAATAGTCTATCGGAGCAAATCGTGTTTGATGATTTGGAACACTTTTTGCCATATGGCTTGGATGAGCTGTGGAAATTTTAAAGCCCAACTTGTTGGACGTGTACTGGGATAACAACTACATGCTATCAAGATGTGTTGTCAATGGCACAGCCCGCCTACGTGGCGCAATTCATTTGCCCGGTTTGTGACGAGGGCGAAAGGCTTGGAGCAACATGACCCCCTTCATCTAATAACGGTCTTTGGTCTTGAAGGTCCTTGGTTTTCCTCAAGGCCTAGTTGACCAAGGAGCTCTATTTATACAAGAAGCGGTGCGAGCCTTCTGCCCTAGGTCCCGTCATCATAGTTCCTCGTCTAACCCGTGCGACAAACGGCCCGTAGCAAACCAGCCCTCTTGGCCATTGTGGCTGAGGCAGGACGTATCTCAAAGTCTCTAGTTTAAGATTGTTTCTTCTATTACATGTCCAAGTCTATTGACGTACAAGGGACACGCTGGTGGAATTGACAGGCCGAGGGGACCACATGCCAACTCTCTTACAACGGACATTTGTGTCATCGGCCTCACCACTAGCCAAGAATGGCCATGCTGCCCCGTGCAGATCACTGATGCCTTTCTCCAGATCCGGGAGGCCATCTGCCGCGCATGGACCCAACAGCACTAGACAGCGGGTGCTGGGCATCACCCGCAATCCTGCGCTCTTTTCAAACCCAAGCCAACACCTGGGCTGACGCTAGTGGCTGCTGGTAACGAAGGCTAAATGGTCGTCGGTGTGCCCAGTCAAGGTAGGAAACGAGACTCGTGCCCAGTTCTAAGAGCAATGCGTCACGGCTCACGAGCAAGTCTCGTCCCCCGAGCCGCGAATTTTCCTACACAAAGCGTACAGGGCGTAGCAATCACATTTAGTCGTCATGATACAAGCTCCCATTCGCCAAAACTAGTCTATAACATTCTACCGCCCCAGGTTCAAAAGCCTCTTTTCTCCATACGCCAACCATGTATAACCCCATATGATCCAAGCTCCCATTCGCCAAAACAAGTCTATGACAATCCATCGCTAAATGCAACAAAGTCCTTTCTCCACGCCGAACATTAAAAAAAAAGGCACCCGCCCATCAATTCACCATAGCTGGTCGGGATCCTTGACAAGCGAAAACTTTCTGTTCTTGCGCGCCATCTTTGCGGCTCGTTTCCGCTCCTCGGCCGTGACCAGCCAAGACTCGACGATTCCGCAGTTGGCCAACGGCTCGTAGGACGAATACTTGGCGAATGTCGGGGACTGTTCCCGGGCCATGCGGCCGGCGACGAGGCAGCCCGTCCGCTGTTGCAGAGTCTGCCGAGCGCGCGCGACGCCCTGCACTGAACTTTGTCCATGACGTCTGGTGGGAAAAAAAACGTGGCCGCCGGGTGTGTGGCCGTCAGCTTGTAGCCGGCTCGCGGCTGCTAAGGGGATTACGGACGATGCTTGCCGGAGCAGTCCTGTTGAAGCGAGGTAGACGCAGAAGGCCGGCTGTTGAGACCAGCTGGATTCACCAATAGATGGTTATCTGAACGGACATGAAAAGACAGTGTTGATCTGGTCAAGCTCGGTCGCGGTTCGCCGGGCCTATATACATATCAAGGTGAATGGTCCACGGCTGCCCTTTCGGGTCAGGTGTGTTCTGGGGTTGGAAACCAGCCCAGCGGCCTCCCCGGCATGTCGTGCGGCGGATGGACGTGTATCCGTCTGGTGAAACCGTGGTGGGAAAGGAAGCGCCCACATGGGCGGCCGACTGAGATGGTCGCCCTTGGAATTTAGGTTTGCGCTGCATTATGATGAAGCTTGGCTCTGGGGGGGGGTCTTGGCGATGGGCAGAAACAATCTTCCAAGGACGTAGTCGCCAAGCAGGCCCATCCGCAGCCAAGCATGGCAGCTCGAGTCATGGCCCAGCACCAGACAGCATAAAAAATTATGCCTTTACAATGTATCAGTTTAATTGAGCGGCAATGCTCATGGGCAAAAGTTAAAAAAGGTCCGGCATATAGCAGGTCTAACCAGACACGTCTCGGCAGTCAAAGGACAACGGCATCTTGTCAAGTTGTGTGCATGCTTGCATGTATGTGCGCTTACACCGGTGGCCAACACCGGACATGTGCGGCGACATCCTGCCTATTTAGGAAGTCGCGATCGCCTCATCCCCGCCGGGATTGACTCGTCAAACCGTAGTGCTAGCGGGCCTGTCAGTGTGCTGTCCTTTGGCCTCAGTCAAGCTACATTAGTACATGTACCGACGGCATGTAAACAGTTCAATGTTGGACCGAATGCAGCCAAGGGCCGCCTGTTTCCGCCTCCGCCAAGATTGCCCTTGCTTCGGGCCATGGTATCCCGAGAGCGCGTGCATCCGGCCCATCTGGCAGATCCATGGGGCCTCTTTCCACGTGTAGCCGGTTAGAGTAGCGTCTGGTACGACGTTGGGGCAGTGCGCCGAGAGCCGTCGTTGCAAACTGCATGGCCATCTGCCCATGTTTGCAAGTCCGCCGTCACATCCGGACAAGGGCGTTCCATCGAGGACATGGACAACTGCCGGCCTGTATCGTCTGCGTGTACGTGCGCTCCATCAGGGCGTCCACGGGGGAATCTCGCTTCATGGCCCGAAAAGAAGTTGATGGCGTTTGGCCGGGCCCGGCCACTGCGTTTCATAGTCCAGCATCAGATCCAGAGCCCGTGTAGCCGGCTTTAGGTACTTTGACAAGACCACCGCGCGACAGCAAGCCTGTCAAGATTCTCACAGCCAGAGAAAACATGATGCCGTGCCACTCAGAGCACAGCCCTGGCTTCGAAACACACCAGTCTGTGCTGTGACAATCCACCAACGAGCGACCGACACCTCCCGAAGTCGGCAATCAAGGCCCCCATATAATTGCCTTTGCCCTGGGTATGGAATGATGATCCAACATGCCATTATGGCGGGTTGAAACAGAGCACAACTCCGGGGAAGCGCGTCCGTCTGACGCGAAAGTCAACCGAAGACAAAGGGGCCAGATGAAATGGTGCCAATTTCGCCACATTTCAAGGGGTGGGAGTCTAGAACCAATCAAAGTTGAAGTTTTCAGTACCTTTTCAAAATACACCATCGCTGCAAATGGTTGTCAGGTTAGAGATATATTAATTGAGTCTCAAAATATACAAGATGGCATATTGCTCATGGGACGGAGCAGGTTTGGGCCTAGGTCCTGAGTAGAGACTAGATTCTCAGCTTGATCGGGCCAAAGTTACTTAGATCCCTTGTTCCCTTTGATATTTAGATTCATGCCTACTACTATGTACCGGAGAACGCCGGAATGCACGGCTCGAGTTAATGCCGTTGCATTTTTCTGATGCGAGCTCCCTAATCAAGGTAGTTGTGTAGAATGCAAACCGTCTGATTATTGTAACCTGACCGACCAGATGATTAATGCACGGGCAAATGTGGCAATGATCCTTTTGCATTGCGTCCACACCCAAACTTTGTGAAGACCTACACTCTATAAGATGAGACGGCCCTTGTATTGGGATTCCTTTGCCATTAGACCAGGCACCGCTTTCGCAACAGGAATATAAGCCTTTAAAGCTCTTTAGAAATGTTGAACAAGTTGGATAAGCAGGACAGCTGCAGTGACCCAGAATTAAGAAGGTCCTGAGGAAATGATACAAGACGATACGCAAAGTCTAACTTAGCTTCCACTTTTTCCCAAGATTGATGGACGCACCAGGTAGCCAAAGAGGGCTACCAAGCATCTTGAACCAAGGAATTTCATGAGTCGCACCACGCTGATTAATAAAGGCTTGTGAGACTGCTACAATTATCAAACGCAAATGCCCACCTCAGCCATCAGCGCCGTCAGATCGGCACCCATGCATCACAGTCGACCTCGCTCGCAAACTGACTGCGTATGAGGCTCTCCTCGGCAGGCAAGCTTCCGCCTCGGCCCTCCATCTACTCTCCTCATCGTCATCATATGAATCCCAGGCCAGGATATTCAGATAGTGTCAACAGGCTCCCGCGACAAGCTCAACCACCATGATGCCAGACTAAAACGTAGGTATCACCACGCCAAGGTTAAATGTATCGGAACGGGGGAACAAAACTTGATATTCAAGACTTACAGAGCCGCCCCGATTCCACCTGGCCAGGAGACATGGCTCCCATTCATTCACATTCCGGCCGTAAAGAATCTGCCTCGTCCGATCCTGCCGCAGGCACAATTTCTATGCGTTGATGAAACTTGCTCTCGCTGGTTGAGCATTCTTCCTCCATCGCTGTGGAGGCATTGAACGACATATACGCTGTGACGACGAGGATCAACAGTAGACTAGGTAGTAAACTCGAGGACAATACCAACTACACCAATACAAACTTGATAAGGTATGCTCGTTTCCAAGCTCGGCGATGGAAACGCCGAGAAACTCCTGTTCAATGTCGTACTGACTAATACCTCACAATGCTCATCTTGGTCACTGCTATTGAACTGCTTCTCTCTCCCGCCCTGACGTCTTTGGCCATCCACGTATCCCTGGACTTTTCCAAACCACATCAGCGCTGTCTTGCGGTCGTCAGCAGTATTGAGCAGAGCGGCCCTCCTTTCAACGGGCGTTCCGCAGTTCGCTTTCCGTGGCCCTCCAGCCAAGTTCTGCCTTTGCGCACTTTTACAGTACTTTTTTTTCTGCTTGTCTGGCGGGAGAGCTTCTCAACCACAGTCGAGCTGGCGTGTTCTTTATTGCTGAGCAATTGAACAGCCGTAACGGTCATCTCGCGCGCCCCTTTGAGGTTCTCGGCTGCGTTCGTCACGTACTTGCAACAGCCAAACTGCACACTGGAGCTCGATGTTGAGGATATTCGGCCGCGGACCGCTATTGCTGCTTCTTGTTTTGCTCCATTGCTCACCGGTCAACACAATATCATGACATGTGATAAAGGGCTCAGTGTATGAGGGCTTGGAGTCAATAGCTTAGTTCATCTAATTTACAGGTTTTTATGTCGAAGGTCCTAGATTTTCTAAAGGCCTGGAATAACCAACGAGCTCTAAATATACCGGAACCCGATGAGAGCCTTCTGCCCTAGGTCTCGTGAGGGTAGCGCGGCGTAACCGTGTGATGTGACATGCAGACGCCCAGGGTGGCGATCAACTCAA